TTTTATTCTTTTTCTATTATATAGTATATTTTTAATGATGGTGTAATTGTTAAAGAATTATGTATTATGTAATCACGGTTGGTGCATCACGACCAGTAAATTCACGTAATTTACTTATTTTTAACGCAATAGTAACTAATGGTTTAAGAATTTCTTGAGCATCTTTGTTTAAAGATGTTGGATCATCTTCATAGCTATCAACATATATACGAATAGTAGCTCCAGAACTTCCTGTACCAGATAAACGATAAATTATACGAGAACCATCTTGAAATAAAATTCTTAGTCCCTGTTATAAAATTACATAATAATTTATACTATCTTAATATGTCGTATATATTATATAATGTAAAATATGTAGAATTATAATACAATACCTGTTTGCTAGCTTGACTTCCATCAACAGGATCTACATAAGAATAATTGTCACTTAATTTTACAATATATACTTTATTTTCAGATATTAATTTTGAATCTATAAATTCAGGTTTTTGTATTTCTGATTCAATATGTTGCATCATTCTATTTGCTGCTTCAGAATCACAATTTTCATAATCATATCTAATATATATAAAATATTATATTATATAAAATTATAACATAATTTATTATAATAAATATTTATATTTATAAATAAAAATAATGTATAACAATAATTAATCACATAACAGAATAAAAATACCTTGTAAAAAAGTTCCTTCCATATATTTGCCAGTGATTTAATAATATATCTTCTACAGATTTTCCAAGATTTGCAATTATACTTAGCCATGCAAGACAAGCCCATATTCCGTCTTTTTCGCGAATATGATCTGAACCAGTACCAAAACTTTCTTCTCCACAAAGTGATAGAAAACCAGCATCCATTAAATTTCCTAATAGTAAAATATTAATGAAAAAATATTATAGTTTAAAATGTTATTATAAAAAAATATATTATACAATTCAAAAATAAGCAAACATTAATATACCAAAATATTTCCAGCCTGTGGGTACTTCATAAAATTTAATACCATTTTTAGCTGCAACTCTGTCTACAGCAGCACCTGTTGGCATAGATCTAGCATATCCTTTAATACCAGTCTTTTTAAAATATGGTATTGCATTTAAATTGGCAGCTAATACAGCTAGTGAATCAGAAGGTGTAACAAAAAAAGCTTTTTTACCTAATATCTACAATAATATTAAATATAAATTTATTTTTAAAAAAATTTTAGAAATATTTATCTATTTTTCATATGAATTAAAAAATTTTATTTACCATATTTCTATCTCCATCCCCATCAAAAGCAGCACCAAAATCATATGGACCATTTTTCATAGCATTTACTAAATCTTTAGCATATGTCAAATTTGGATCAGGATGAAGTCCACCAAAATCTTCTAATGGAATTGCATTAACGATGCTTGAATTATCAATACCTAATTCATTACTAAATATTTGTTTTATATATGGACCAGTAACTGAATAAAAACAATTGTTATAATTATTAGTTAATATTGAATATATTAAATTTACATTAATATAAGTTTTACATACCTCCATTCATTGCATTGATAAGAACTTTAAAAGGAGGACGATCATTACTTCCTTGTAATAATGTTTTAATACTAGAAAAATCAAAAATATTTTTCATATGTTCTATATAATCATTAACAGAATCTATTATATCTACTATAAATGAATTTCCATCTACTTGTATTATAGTACTTTGGATTTTGCTTATATCTATGGATATATCAGGTATAGTTTTATAATTCTTGAGCACTTTAGTAATATCATAGATTTTATTTGTAACATAATCTGGAGCAGGACCACCATTTTCACAGTTAAATTTAATACCAAAATCAGCATCTGGTCCGCCAGGATTATGAGATGCTGTGAGAACAATTCCTCCTAAAGTTTTATATTTTCTTATTATAGTAGATACAGCTGGAGTTGAAAGTATACCATTTTGACCAATTATTAACCTTTTTACCTAAAACGTTTTATTAAAATTTGATTTAATTTTTTTTTATTGTTATTAATGTAAATTAATATAAAATTTTGGAATTATAAAAATTATTTAGATTAATAAAATAATATACATTCATAACAAGAAAATTAAAAGATAATAGTTATTTAAAAGTAATTTTATAATTTACTTTAAATAAATTTAAAGTAAAATATAAATATTTTCAATTTAAATTTAAATAAGTTTAAATAAGTCATTTAAATAGATATTTAAATGATATACTTACTCCATTAGCTGCAGCAATTTTGATAATTTTTTCTACTGCTTCTTTCACATAATATCTCCCATCACCACCTACAACTAATGTACTACCAAGTAATTTGTCTCCAAGAGCTTGTAATATTGCTTGAATGAAATTTTCCGTATAATGTTCTTGCATAAAAACCTGTACGGCTTTTCGTAATCCGGACGTACCCGGCTTTTGTCCATCGTATATTCGGGTTTCTATAATTATGCTCGTTACAGTATTTGACATCTTTCAAATATTATATTTAACAATATAATATAATAAATAATAATTAAAACAAAAAATAACTTATTTTTATGTTAAATCAAATAATAATAAAAATTTAGATTTCAGAATTTAATAACACGACCTCGATACTTGCTAGCAGACTGAACTTTGTCTACCAATGACACACAAGGGCACGGGTCACCATCTTGAAACATTGCGCCCGCGCTTTACTTATTGACTAATAATATCGGCTTTATGAAAATGGATCTTTCAAATATAGTACATAATATTCTTACTCTAAAACATTGATAATGAAACATTTAATAAAAAATATTAATAATCACAAGTTTATAATGACATCTTATTGATTTTAGTAGTAGCTTCCGTTTAATGTGAATCACATAAGTAAATAAATAAAAATGCTTAATTAAACTTGTCTTATCATTCCTATGTCTTAAACAAATATGTTTAACATACAAATTTTTTTCATGTTCTCATTTACAAGAAATAAAATTCATTCAATATTTATTTGCTAAACTGATACTTTTCAAATGTAGCTACTTTTCAAAGTTTTAAATTATATTGATATTTCAAAAATTGACATTTTCATAAAAAATTGAAAGTTTATATAATATCGCAAAAAAAATTTATCATTTTTTGAATGAAAAAATATGTTACATCATTTGAATTCTTTATATCTTGTTATTCTACAAATGTTTCGATATTTTTTTCTTAAGAATACTTGAAAATGTAGAGAAAAATGTTTAAGTATATAAATATATGAATGCGTAAATGATTATTATGACGACTAATATTACTGAAGAAAAATGAGGAGTAGGGAGCTTCTTATGTCAAGGATGTTCGATATAAGAACGCGAATTTATAAAACAGACGCTTAGTTGTTTAAAACAACAGTTTTCTCGAAGTTTCATTCATGTTATGTGTTATAAGTAAAAGGTGCTATAAATTATATATTTTATCATTGATGTAACAATTTTATTGAATATTAAAAATATAAAAAATATTATATTATAGAAAAGAGATAAATTTATTATTTCCAGTCATTCTTTTTATTATGTTTAAACAAATTTTCAAAAAATTATAGAAATAACAAATATAATTATAATTTCATTTAATTTTAAATTTAAAATTTATTACAAAAATTTATTACAAATTCATTAAATTTTGTAAAGTTTTAGTGAAATTAATTATTAGATATATTAACATATATTATATATCATAAAAGGTATGTAACTTTTATATTATATTTTAATTAAATATTTAAAAATATAAATATAAAAATATATTTAAATGTGTTTAATAATACATTATATATATTTTAATAGTTCTATTATATGACATGCATGCATAAATTAAATATAAAATGTATAAGTATCAGAATGCTTGGAAATCTTGCATGCATCATGATAGTGGATCTGAAAGTGCACCTTTAATCTCTTCAGGATCTCATATTAGTGTTGAACCTATTATATTTCAAGATTCTGAGACTAGTGATTTAGAATATATTTCTACAAATAATTATTTCAAGTATCAACTTTTTTGTTACTCATTAATTAACAATTTCTATCTATTATAAGTGAAATATTATTATTTCTTTTATCATATGTTATTATTAATATTGTGAATAATAATCACTTATTATATATATTTCTTATATAGATATGGTAGTCTTGAAACTTGTAATTTACATTCTAACATTACCATAATACCAAAAAGACCGCTTACTGAAAATCATACTTTAGTTTCATCTTTAACATTAAATACTTGTTCTTCATTAAATGTAATCCAAGACAGATGTTATGAAATCCATAATACTGATTTGGTAAGAATATCACAAAATAATATAAAATTGCATTATTACAAGCTTATTAAAGTTAAATATTTTATATATATACAGAAGTGACATATATACAGACATTAACTGATTATCATTATTTAAATTTGATTATAATCATTAAGTAAAATATTTTTTTGTACTTTTCTATAATTTTCTATAATTTTTATTTATATATTATATTATATATATACATATATAATTTTTTTTTATTTATGTATTATTGTGTATTATATATTATCTTTTTCTTTATATATTATATAATATTATATAATCTTTATATTATGAATATTAAAAAATGCAAACTAAGTTTTATTTACAAATAAGTTTGTTATAAATAAATTTTTATCTTAGTTTTATTAACAGGAAATTGTGGAAGATACATGTAAGGATATTAAATCAAAACAAAGCTCTTTAGTTACAATGTAAGTAACTATAATATTTAATATATATATAATATATACTTAATATTTAATATCTACTAAGATTGTTATGTTATTGTACAATAAATATATTATATTACATAGAAATGCTTCTAGAATTTCATATGATTATTGATAAGTAAAAGGAAGTTTTGATTATTGTATTTATTCCTGTATTGATAAATACAATATTAAATTTAGTATCAATAACATAATATAGTATTAATTATAAATTATTATCAACTATCATGTTATCATCAAGAAAAGGTTCTGGGTCAATTCTCTTAATACGTTCAGAAATCTAATCATATTCATAAATTTTTTGTTATCTCTTAGTAGTCATATTTTTAATAGGTCGATGATGAGAGAAAAATGAAATCTTGCATCAGAAATGTCTATATACATTTTGAATATGTCAGATAATTTGTTTTCTTTTATTTATATTATATCATTTTCCTCATCTTTTAACTCTTGTTTTAATCTCATGTTAATATATATATAAAAAAAATTTTATATTTGCAATAATAAAATTTGTTATATTTTTTTAAAGAATAGATAATTTTGAATATTTGTTTAAATATATTAATTCTATGTTTAATGCTTTTTTTATTTATAAAATTTTTAATTTTATAATTTTAAATTTTTTATTCAGATTTTGAAATCAATATATAACTAACATAATATATTCAAACTTAAATATTATTATAAAAGATTTATGAATATTCATTAAAATATAAATATTTTATTATAAATATTATATCATTTTAAATAAACTTACCTATTTAAATCGAATTTTTATTTATCAAATTTCACCAAAATTAAATTTCAAAACATATTAAATCCATTATACTAAATTTCACTATTAATCATATGATATTTCAATTATCGTTTAAAAAATTGAATATACTATCATTCGTTTTCACATCTTAAAAGCACATTTAAAGCATAGATAACATAAAACAAAGAAATTTTAAATTATAAATTATAGTCAGTATATTGTTTCTTTTCATTAAAAAAAAAAATATATAAAAGATTCACAGATGCATGTTTTTAAGAAAATGAAAATGAATATAAGTATCAAACAAATGTAATTATAGTCGCTTATGTTTCGACCACCATCGGGTGGTTGTGACGACTGTACAATATATTCACATTAGAAAGGGTTAGCGTTCTGTCGGTTGCCTGGGTAACAGACATCTGAAAGGTCAATGTCCGTAACTGGTACCTAAAGAAATCACACAAAATATTACAATTGAATATCGATGAATATTAATTTCAACAGATTTATAAATTAGATAAATAATAAAAAAATATATAATTTATATATAAGCAATCTAGCTATTAACAAGCTAAAGATTTAGATTATCTTACTTATTTGTAATTTGAATGAAATTTTATTATATGTGCATTTCATAAATTCGTTAATATTTAAAAATAAATAAATATATATATACATATATATACTCTATCATAAATATATAATAGTAAATAATTTAAAAAATTTGAATAATAATATATAAAAATATTTAATAATATAAAAAATTAATGCAATTTTTTTTATTTTCAATATGAATGCTAATTTGTACAAAGGATTTGTACAAAAACATATTTTTTTATTATATTCAATGCATTTTTGATAATATTATAATTAAAATAATATTTATTTTTTTATTTTTATTGTTTTTAATTTTGTATGTTCATATTTCTATAGATTTTCAATATGGAATACAATATTAGGTTCTTCTTTATTAACAATACCATGGGGTATTCAAATGGCTGGCTTTTTTCCTGGTATTCTTCTAATACTTATAATGAGTGGTTTATGTTTATATACTGCTTATTGTCTTTTACTTGTACATAATTATTATGGTAAAAATATTTTATTCTTTTTGTACATATTTAGGAAAATTAATATAATAATATATTTATAATAACTTAATGTCTTAGGTAAACAAAAAAATATAGAAGTAATTCAATTGTGTCAAATATATCTTAATAAATGGGCAGAATATGTTGCTAAAATTTTTAGCATTACAGTTTTGTTAGGTGCAACTATAGCTTATTGGGTTTTAATGTCTAATTTCTTATATAATTCTGTGAATTTCATATATGGTAAATATGCAAAAATAAAATTTGTTTTATTTAATATAATTTTATTTAATAAATATAATTATATAAATTTAAATTATTTTTTTATAGATAGTGTAGTTAGAGTATCTCAATTTCCTATAATTGACAATACTTCTTTCACATCAGAAGGTAAGAATATTTATCATAAATTTAATCAAATTTACTAAATATTAAAAAAAAATATAAGAAATAATTAAAAATAAATAAAAAAAAAATATTTAAGAAAAAATTACTTCTAAATTACTAATTACTAATTTTAATTATAGTATTATGTCCCAAAAAAATAATTTATAATAGTACAAATTTTATAATACATGATTATACATATAATACTTTGGGACCACTTTGGGATTTATATAAAACAGTTCCTATTTTTCTTGGTTTATTAATATTTCCATTTTTAAACTTTAACAGTCCTACTTTCTTTGCAAAATTTAATTCTCTTGGTAAGTATATAAAATTATTTTTTTTTTATTTATTTTTGTTCTAACAATTATGGATAAATAGTTTATATTAAATTTATTTACTTATATAATATGATAAATTTATTTACCTTTTCAATTAACATTTTCATCCAATTTATAAATTTATTTACTTTTACAAAATATTTTTTTTAACATTATATATTTCATAGGAACCATATCAATTATATATTTAATAGTGTTTATTTTGATAAAATCTTACTCATGGGGTATCAATATGAATGAAATAGAATGGAAAACTAGTTGGACATTAAAATTCTCATTTCCTGCACTTTCTGGAATGTTGGCATTATCATTTTTCATTCACAATATTATAATTACTATAATGCAGAATAATTATGATCAGAGTAAAAATGTAAATAATATCTTTTTTTTTTATAAATTTACTTATAGATTTTTAAAAAGTTTTTTTTCTATAGGAAGGGATCTTTCAATAGCTTATCTTCTTGTTACTCTAACTTATATTACAGTAGGTATAGTATTTTATGTGTGTTTTCCACTGAATAAATCATGTATTGAAGATGTAAGTAAAATGTAAAGTAAACAATAAACTTTCACAAAAAACAAAATTAAAAATTAACTTTTTACAGAATTTATTAAATAATTTTCAAAAATGGAATGGCTTGACAGTGGCTGCTCGAATTGTTCTTTTTTTTCAACTATTAACTGTTTACCCATTACTTGCATATATGCTACGTATTCAATTACTTACATCTATATGTAAAATATTTAATACAGGTTGTATTATTGTGATTAATATTATTTTAGTATCTGTATGCATTTTTTTTGCAATATTTGTACCCTACATTGGTACAATAATACGATATACAGGTGCTTTAAGTGGTTTTATTTATATTTTTACTTTACCAAGTTTATTATACTTGGTAATTTTGAAAGAACAAAAAAAATTAACAATATTTTCTTTATTTTTACATGTAAGTATTCTAATTTTTGGATTTTTAAACTTGTTAGCTCAATTTTTTATTACGGAATATTAAATATATTCGATTTTAAATTTGACAAAATATAGATAAATATAAAATTCTGTTTTTCTAATATTATAATATAATTATAAGAAAACAAATAATTATATAAATAAAAATGTATATAACTATAGTCATATTGTATGAATGTAAAAATAATTAATAAGAATATATATAAATACTAAATAAAAATATAAAAATATAAATTACATATTATTTAAACAATTTAAATATAAAGGTATTAAATTTTACAAGAATAAAATAACTAAGTTTAAAATAATATTAACAGTTTAAAATAATATTAATCTTTTAATTTTGTAAAACAATTTATTTTTTAATTTATTATTTAATTATAATGTATATTATGATTTATTTAGAATAACTTATTTATAATTAAGTAATATTTACAATCTTTATAAGTCTTTCAATTGATATCTAATTTTATTATTGTAATTTTTTTGAAATCTTATATACCCAAACAGTATCATTACCTTCACCAATAATCTTAATTTCAGTCATAGTAGGAAGTGGAAATCTACAAGCAATTATTATACAATCTTCTTGTAATTCTTTAATAAATTTTATTTCAATATCTTTCATCTGAAAATATTATATTATATAAATTATAAAAAATAATGTATAAAAATAAGGTAATAAATATAAAATTTACCATTTGATCAACACCAAATAAAACAATATTATTATATCTTTTTAAATTATGTTTCCATAAATTTTGTTTGATAAATGTTGTCTGTAAAGATGATCTTGTGATTAAAGCTTTTAATCTAGAGTACCATACCAACCAAAGATTCAATTCAATTCCATAAGCTTTAAAACCTGCTTTAGCTGTTGCAAAAACCTGTTTATAAAATCATAATCTTAATTGATTAATAATTTACTAATTATTTTATTGTATTAATAAAATATTTACTATTCGTCCATCTCCACTTCCAAGATCAATCAAAGAACCAGAACGTCCTTCTAAAGCTTTTAATACATTATGTATCTGTTGAGATGTTGCTGGTACAAAAGGCAAACATATTTTACGAAGTGCGGGACTGACAAATGAAAAACATACTACACTAATAGCAGTTGCAATGCCTCCTAAAAAAATAATATAAATAAATTGAGTTTATAGTGATTAATAATATGAAATATATTTATATAATATTTTTCATCACATTACCTGTTATACCGATAAGATATAAGCCAAGTTTTGATGTTTGCGATACTTTTTGCGATGAATTAACGTTACTACTTACGATGTAATTTATTCCATTAACCTCTGCTGATTAAATTTATATGAAATTAAAATTTGTAAATATACCTTTTAGAAATAAATATATAAATTAAAAAATTTTGCTTTATGATTTATAATTTATCTTACACATCTTGTATATTTAATATATATAAGCAATTTCTTGTTTATTTCTGGAAATAATATCAACTATCAATGTATAATTTATAATTTTTAAGATATATTAGATTGATTAGTAATTTTAAAATATAAAAAGTTACTATATAATCTAGTAACTTATAAATATCATTATAGTCATCTTATTTCCCTAGATTTCTATGTTGTGTCGATATCATTTTCTTGAATAGTACAATCGTTGATGTGATCCATCAATTACGTATTTTCTTATTATAGTACATTAAATGAGTTGTTTCACATTGCTTCATTAGAGAAGTTCTTCGATTCTTTAATGTATTGTTAATATTTTTGCATATAATTTTTTTGTCAAAATTTCAAGAAAGCTTTTTTGTGTGAATATTTTCTAATAATTAGTATTTTTACATTTTCTAAAGTAAAACTATTAAAATGCCGGTATTTCATACAAAAACTATAGAAAGTATTCTCGAACCTGTCGCACAGCAGGTAATTATACTTATTTTTTTATCCTTTAATTTTTATATTTATAAAAAATCATTAATTTTACTATATTTCTAAAAATGTCATTGATTTTCTCACTTTTGAAAGAGGAAAATAAAAGAGAAAGAACAGATGTTTGAGAAAAGGAGATAACTTGATATTTAAAAAATAATTTAGTTAATATAAATATACATGTAAAATATATCATAAATGTTTGTTATATTGTTTTAAAAAATATGTTTTTTTATATTTAAAATTTATCAGATTAAATTATTTAATATATCTCTTAATATAACTTTATATAAGAAAATTTATATAAGAAACTTGAAATGACAATTTATAATTTTAGCTTCAAATATTTATTATGAATAATAATAAATATTTATTATGATAATATTTTTCATTATAAAGTTTTGTCAAATGACTTGTCTTTCTTTATATAGAACTATGACATCATTCTATAAATATAGAACAGAAATACTAAATTCATCTTTAGTTTTAAAAGCTAAATTATATGAAATTCAATCCCAGTACATAACATTATAAGAAACCATGTCATCTGAGATTACTTAGTATTTCCAAAAATGGACATGCAGAATCCTACCAATCAGTAAAACATCCCACACATTATATATATGAAATTATTAATGTTTCATAAATTAAATATGTTTGAATATGTTCTAATAATTCTAATGTTAATGTGAAATAAAGGAATAAAATTATATAGACATTAATATATTTCGAAAAATTATGTAGAAAAACTTATATTTTATTTTAGAATTATTAAATATGATAATATGTAATTAATATTTTTATGTTACTTTTATGTTAGAATTGAAATACTTGTATGTATCAAATATATTCATAATTATACAAAAATATTTATTTTATATATTAAATAGTTCTATATAATTAGAAAATTTTTTTTTTTATAAATATATCTATATATATTTTTTATTAATAATATTTATTTTTTATAAAAAATATTAAATAAAATAATTATGAAATATTTAAATTATAAAAATGTAAATAATATATATAAATTTTTTATAACATAGGTTTCGAGACTTGTTATCTTACATGAAGAAGCTGAAGATGGAAATGCAATGCCTGATTTAGGAAAACCTGTACAAGCTGTTAGTATGGCAGTAGCAAATCTTGTTAAGGTAAATTATTTTGTAAAACTAAATTTATTTTATTAAAATTATTCATTTTACTTTATATTTGTTATTAATATATAGGTAGGAAAAGAAACAATTAATTCTTCTGATGATGCCTTGCTTAAACAAGATATGCCTGCTGCATTACAACGTGTTGAAGGAGCTTCACGTCTTTTAGAAGAAGCATCAGCTATGTTAAAACAAGATCCTTATTCTGGACCAGCTAGGTATAAAAAATAAAATAAAATTTATGTTATAATACTATTATACATATATATTTATGTTATAATATTAACATGTTAAATGATAATAAATAATGTTATCATAAGTTAAAAAAATAAAATTTTTTTCTTTTTATTAGAAAAAAACTTATAGAAGGTTCACGTGGTATTCTTCAAGGAACTAGTTCCTTATTACTATGTTTTGATGAAAGTGAAGTACGTAAAATTATCAGAGAATGTAAAAGAGTATTAGATTACTTGGCAGTAACCGAAGTTATTGAAACAATGGAAGATTTAGTTCATTTTCTTAAAAATTTAAGTCCTTGCCTCAGTAAAGTATCAAAAGAAGTAAGTGCTCGAGAAAAAGAGTTAACTCATCAAGTGCATAGAGAAATTTTAGTACGTTGCTTAGAACAGGTAAGAACACTAATCAATTATCAATATATTATAATAATGTTTATTAATATCTTAAATGTTATGAAATATATAATAGGTAAAAACACTTGCACCAATTCTCATCTGCTCCATGAAAATATTTATTCATATTATCTCTCAAGGCGGTAAAGGAGCAGAAGAAGCAGCTGAAAATCGTAACTATTTATCAGGTAGAATGTCAGATGAATTAAATGAAATTATCAGAGTATTACAACTTACAACATATGATGAAGAAGAATGGGATGCTGACCAATTAACAGTAAGTATTAAGTATTAAGTATTAAATATTATTATATAAATATTAAGATTCTTGAAATATAAAATTTAATTATTGTTTTATATTATATTGTTATTTATATTATTATTATTTTTTCTATTTTCTTTTAAGGTATTAAAAAAAGCACAAAGTGCTATAGAATCTAGAATAAGAGCTGCTTATGATTGGTTAGATGATGGACTTGCATTGCGTGGTGGATTAGGAGAAAAGAGTCTTCGTCAAATAGTTGAACAAGCACAGCGATTAGCAGAAAGATATCTTCCACCATCACAAGCAGAATCATTACAAAAATTAACTTCGCAAATTGTCACTATGACCAATGCTCTTTGTGAATTAAGACAAAATGAGAAAGGTTTGTATAATGCACATATATATAAATATAAAATACATTTCATAAATATATTTTTTTCTTAATTCTTTATAATATATATATTTATTCTTTAAGGAACTACACCACAAGCAGAAGCTTTAGCACGTAGTATAAAGGAAAAAACAAATGAACTTCGTAGCTCTATAGCTTCTGCCATAATTGCTGCTGATAAATCTGGAACCACGCAGACTGCTCATACAGTTGCAGGTCGTTTAGAACAAGCAAATAAATGGCTTCTTAATCCTCAACATGATGATAAAGGACTTGGACAAAGAGCAATAGCATTAATTATACATGAAGGAAAAAAGGTATATATATTGAATACAATAATATTTTTTTTCTTCAATCAATGATAATTATTATAGTTACAAATTTAAAGATTTTTCATTTAATTTTAATAATTTAAATGCCAAAAATGGAAAGAATCAACAACATGTAGCAAATGTAAGTTACATGTATAATTACAATATTTGTTAAAATAATAATGGACTAATTTAATTATATCATATTCTTTATATATAAACTTTTAATTTTTCTCATATTTATTAATTGATTTATATTTTAAATTAGGTTGCTGAGGGTTTACCAGGAATACATAAAGCAGAAATTTTACAACTTTGTGATGAAGTTGACAATCTCTCCCATCAACTTGGTGATTTATGTGCTCATGGTCAAGGAAATACACCTCGTGCTCAAGAAATCGCTCGTCAATTATCACATAAGCTATATGAGCTAAAGAACAGAATACAGCAAGCTGTTGTGTCTAGAGTAGTTGAAGATTTTATTGATATAACGACGCCTCTGAAACAGTTTACAGATGCTGTGTTGACCCCAGAAGGTTCTTTAGGTCGAGATCAAAATTTTAATGATAAGACTCATGCTCTTCAAACATTTTCCAATAGAGCAACAAAAACAGCTAAAATGGTGGCTGCTGGTGGTATGTAAATACTTATTTATATTTTATTATATATAATATTATATTATCTATTTATATTATATTATATTTATTTATTATATTTTTTTTATTCACTATAAACTATTATATTTATATTTATATCAAATTTATTATTGATTTATTTATATAATATATATCTAAATTTTAGGAAGTGGAGGCAATAAAAAATTGGCAGAAGCATTAACTACAAGTGCTTCACAAGTTGAATCTTTAACACCACAATTAATTAATGCTGGGCGTATTCGAATGACTTATCCTGATAGTAAAGCAGCTGATGAACATTTTGAAAATTTGCGGCAGCAATATGCAGATACAATGCAAAGAGTTCGTGCACTATGTGATGAAGCAACTGATAGTGGAGATTTCATTAGAACTTCAGAAGAACAAATGCAAAAACATTCATTCCTATGTGAAGAAGCTATTGCAAAAAGTCATCCACAAAAAATGGTTGACAATACGGCTGCTATTGCCAGATTAGCTAACAGAGTAATACTTGTAGCAAAACAAGAAAGTGACAATAGTGAAGACACTGCATTCATTCAAAGAGTAAACCAAGCTACAGATATTCTCCAAAATAGTAAATGACATCCAATCATATTATTTAATAATATTTAGAAATTGTTTAATTAAATTATTTTAAATTTTTTAAAACTTTTGTTTAGGTGTTGCTCCAATGGTCCAAGATGCAAAATTAGTTGCAATTAATATCAATGATAATAATGCAGTTTCTCATTGGAGAGAAAGTAATCGTACAGTAAGTATTATAAAATATAAATTAACATACTTTTAGATTAGATTAGATAAATATTTTTTTATTGTTATTAATTATTGTTATTATTGTGACTAATTTATTTATTTTAGCTTTTATCTAATGTTGGACAAGTTCGTAAGGCTATCGTACTTCAACCAGATGTGATATCTCCGCCAGAGGTATCGCAATTGCATCTTAATGATGGTAAGCATATAAAATATCTTTATATAATTTGTTTATTTTGTAAAAATATATACATTATTAAAATTAAATTATTTTGAATATAGGTAATTAATTTAATATAATGTTCTTTGATAATGTTCTTTTTATTTTCATAGGATATTTACTCATGCACTATTTATAATTTTTATTTTATATTTGTTTATTTAATTTATATGTATATTGACTTATATTTGCAGTAACTATTAATTATTCATATTGAGATGGATAAAATTCATTTAATATATGTATGTTTTCTTAGGCAAAGTTCAAATATTTTTTTTTTCATAATATAAAAATTCTTAACATATTTCTTACAGACAAACATTTGCCAAGCCGTCAATATAATTACTTCATAGACAAAGGTACTATATATTTATACGAAAATAACTTATGCATGATCGATTATTATTTTATTAATTAAATATTTGATTTAAATATGACTTCATTACATATATAAAAATGAATAATATTAATAATCTGAAAACGTATGCAATGCTAAATTCATTTTAAATTTTAATTTAATAAAACAATATCTGTCTAAAAATAGGATACCTCAATATAATTCAACATAATTTCTCTTGTTTTATCTTTAAATTTTAATAAGAAATTTATATATAAATATTTGTGAACATTTCTTTAAATGCTAGTTGGTGAACCTTTAAGAAATCAACCATCGCCAAGCAATTTATGTGTCATCAGCCCTAGTCTAAACACAAATAAATCCCAACATCGCTCTATCAGTCCATTACCAAAGTGGGCACGTGAAGGTATTTACTATTATTTGAAAAGAAAACAATCAAAATAAGTTTAAATAAATTTTAAATAATTATTAAATGATTATTATATAATTTGTCTTTTTTCTTGTTGAAAAATATTTATTAATAAGTTGCTCAAAAATGAAAATGAATATATAAATTTTCGAAATAAAATTGTTTGTTGATGTTAAGACATGTTAAGACATGAAAGTAATTATTTTTTTTATCAGGAGATAACCCTGATCTCCTATATCAAGAACTGGCTTCTGATATCGAGTTAGAAAAATCAGTTCATGATGGAGGTAATTTGAAATTGGTATTTTTGAAAATTGGAATTGCAAGTGTTCAATACTTAAAATTCTATTTAATCATGAAAAAAAAGCATGTATATAATAAAATTGAATATATATTCTTTTTTTATTATGTTTTTATAATAAAAAATATTTTATAATTGAAAATAAAAAGATATGATAAAATATATATAATTATCAAAAAAATTTAATGAAATCATAAAAGAAATATATAAATACTTTTATTAAAGAAAATAATAATGCATTGCATTTATTTTCATTAAATATTATAAATACATATTAAACATTCGAAAAATTATTATTTTAAATAATTTATCGTTTTTTAAATATTATTTTCAAATAACAATTTTCATTTAATTTTCATTTACTCATTTGTACTGATATTATAATAATATATAAATTTATGATTTTTATTTTTATTAACAATTCTATTCATTGTTTTTTCAGAACATATAATTAACGAATATTTTTTATTTGTTTCTTAATACATTGCATAATTATGTTTGTTTATCTTATTTTAATGCATGTTTTATTGTAGTAATTATTGTATTGATACTTAATTTAAAACTATGTATATTGATACTTTTAATGCTACATGGAACAATAGGCTACTATTATGATTATGATAATGATGATGGTAATTATGAAATATGTATTGTTTTTATGAATGTTGATTTTTATTGTGTTCAATGTTTTTTTCATTAATAATAAATCTATTATTTGGCAAAAAATGTAATATTTTTATAATAACTATTATAGACAATTTTAATTTATTCAGAAGTTGTTCCACCACGTCCTCCTTTGCCTGGTGGAGATATTCCGCCTCCACGACCTCCACCACCAGAAACAGATGATGAAGATGAAATGTTTATGCACGCACCGCAACCGAATCAACCTATAATGGTATTAATGAAATTTTATTTTTTAATTCTTTATTTTCTAAGATTAATATGTATAATATATAATATTTTTTTATCAAATTGATGATGAAAATAGATGGCTGCTCATGGCTTGCATCAAGAAGTAAGACAGTGGTCGAGCAAGGATAATGAAATTATCGCTGCTGCGAAAAAAATGGCTATTTTAATGGGCAGATTATCAGGCTTAGTTAGAGGAGAAGGTGGTAATAAAAGAGATCTGATTGCATGTGCTAAGGCTATTGCAGAAGCTTCTCAGGAAGTTACTCGTTTAGCTAAGGAGTTAGCTAGAGAATGCACGGATAAACGTATTCGTACAGTATGTATATAATTTATTTATTATAATTTATATAATATTGTGTAATTAAAATTTATATCTTTTATATTTATTTTATAGAATCTTCTTCAAGTTTGTGAACGAATACCTACTATAGGAACGCAATTAAAAATATTATCAACAGTGAAAGCTACAATGTTGGGTGCTCAAGGTATAGTATACATAATTATTTAATTTAATGTATAAAATATTAATATATTCGTAGGACATTTTTAGAAGATTGATTCCAGAAATCAAAATAAACTCAAAAGTTGATATATAAAAATGTTAGTTAAAACTTATTTGTTATAAACAATTGTTTGCATTAGACGAAGTAAACAAAGTGAGATTATTATGTTATATCATTATTATATTCTGTTCTTGCTTTATCTAACACTTAAATTATTTATAATTTAATAAATAAATTAATTAATAAATGAATCTTAACCAATATTTTTACATTAACTTTTGTATTTGCTTTTGTCTCTAGAATCGATTTCTCCAAAAGTGTCTCCATATTAATATCTTGTATATAATATATTATGTACAAAATAGAACAAAGTAATTAAAATTTATTTATTTGCAATCAATTTTAATAAATTATTTGTATTTATATTTTAACTAAAATTATTACTTATGAAATAATTAGAATATTTCTAATTACTATGTGTTCTATCTTGTATATACTGTATGTGAATAAAGATCCAATTATTATATAGAAAAATGTTTCTGATAAAAATTATAGAATAAATATCATATAATATTGATATTTATTTAACTCAATAATAATTTTTAAAAGTTCTATGAATGTCATGTTTAAATGAAATAATTTCTAAATGGAACCAATATTTTTATTATATATTCTTATAAATATTATATTATATTATATTATAATATTATAGATATTTAAATGTTTTCAAAACATTACTTATATATATATATTTTATTAATTTTGAAATATCAATTTTGAAACCTAACTTTGTGCATTAGTGTTTAAATTTACATACATATTTTAAGAATTTATATCTCAAGAATGATTTATGCAAAAATATTATGTTTATATGCAAATATCACATATCAGTTTTAAAAAAATTTTATAAAGTCATTATTAGATCAAATATGTTTCCCTTGATATTCTATAATTTTTATATAAAATATTTTACTATAGTGTCTGTTATTGTATTTTTTAAAATATTTATATTTTCAAATAATTTTCACATAGATTGTCAACTATCAAATAAATAAAATAGAAATGAAAGAATTTTATATCATAAAAAATTATTCATTGATTAATGAAAATAGTTATTAATAACATTTTTTATATGTAATTAATAACATTTTTTATATATAGAAATGCTCCCTACCTGGGAAGAGTTGATGCTTTATGGTAAAAATATTGACAAATTATACTTGATGTTTTTGCCATTTTCTTTAGCGTTTCTTTTATTTATTTGTAGATATTGCACAATCTTGCACTTGCAGTGCATGCATATTTTAGCTTTTTTCATAATGAATTAATAAAAAAGTATAATATATAAATAATAATTATTTTATTAGATAAAATTTTGGAATATTTAATAAAATAAAAAAAAATTATTATTAAAGTGTTACAATATTTTAGTTTAGTTTTATAAATAAAATTTTCTTTAATAAATCATAAAATATGAATTGTTTTATTCAATTTTCTAACTTTTGATTTATTGATGAACAAATGGTTTAATGTGCCTGTGCTCATCATGACATAGACGAATTGATTGGCTGCAGTAAGTTGATGAAATAAATATAAATTAGCATAGAAAATGTAGTTAAAAATAAATAATATGTTGAAATTAATGTTGTGTGTATAAGAATATTATGTACATACTTATATTGTATTATATTATATAATATACAATATATTGTATTATATTGTATCATATTATATGCATATGCACATATAATTTGTTTTTCAAAAATTAGACTAAAATCTTTAACTTTATTATCTTGAATCTTTATTAACTTATATTACTCATCTTTTTAACATTAATATTTACATCTTATTTTAAGTTTTATGCATATATTTTATTCTTTTTGCATGATTCTTTTTTTCTAGACATTTCATTATTTTTAAAATATTTTAAATTGTAATATATAGTATTATATATATACATACACACAATGTTTTTTTATATATTAAAAGAAATTAGTATTAGAATATAGTATTCTATCTGCACGTAATTTTCTTATAAATAATAAATTCATCCAATTTCATACATTCTTTGTTTTATTTGAAATGAAAAAAATTTTTTTATGGCACACATTTATGTGTTAAAAATTAAATTTTTATTAAATGAAATTGTTTATAATGATTATCTACAACAGCAATTTTTATTTAAATATCATGTATATTAATCATATAGTATAGTATATTTTACAGAATTGAAAAATAGAAATAAATATATTTTTAATTTGTTTCATAGTATACTATATCAGTGTATATTTGAATTTTCGATGATTTATCTTTTTATTTTTTAGCTGCAACCGAAAATAAAACTTTTACGAAATATACTTGGATTTTACTTTTTTTTTTTTTTTAAATGAACTATTTTAACTTTTTTTAATCTAGTTTTTCTATTCGTTTTTAAATTCAAATTTATTGAAACACTTAAATAATTCATTGAATCTATGAAACATGTTAAAAATTTTCTTCAATTTTATTTTACATTAAATATTTTAATTATTTAATAATTTTAATTTTATTAATAATAATTTTTATTTAATATTTTCAAAAAATATAGGCACAGAAGAAGATCAGGAAGCAACAGATATGTTAGTTGGAAATGCTCAAAATCTTATGCAAAGCGTAAAAGAAACTGTTCGTGCAGCAGAATGTGCTAGTATAAAAATACGTACCGCATCTGGTATGAAATTACGATGGGTGCGACGACAACCTTGGTATCAATATTAAACAAGCAATTGCAATATAATGAAAGTGAATTATAAAAGTTAGGTAAGATTTGTTAATATTAACTTTGATTGAGTTTAAATTGATTTAAAATCTTTTTATCAAGAAATATTCAATATTTTTTTAAATTAATTTATAAATATGAAATTCGTAAAAAGAATCAAAATTTATAAAATTACTTTATTTATAAGGAATTTAAAAAATAAGTTTTCAGAAATAATTATTATATATTTTTTAATAATTATACATAAAAAAATACATATATTTAAAAAATTTTTTGATTTTATTCATTTCAAATATTTGAATATTTCTTAAAAGATTCATTATAGTTCACAATGATTATAATGTATTGACCATTTTTATATATAAGTGCTAAAATTTAGAGTAAACGAACTAGTGATTAATATTAGAAATGAATTCTTTAAGAGATATATCATAGTCTTTAAAAAGTATAATCAAAAGATATTTTCAGATGAAATATTTTAGGGAATGCTTAATTATAACAATTTCCAAAGCCTATCTCTCTTATATAGTTTTCAGCAAATAAGTAAGAAAGTAAAATAGAGATGATAGAGCTTATGCCTTATATAAATTACCAATGTGCTATATATTTTCATGTATTTAATAGTAAATATATTTTGTACGTGCATGATGTGCGCATGCGCGCGTGCATATACACACATTAATCTAAAATCAGCACAATTAATAAGAATAAAATTTTTATCTATAAATATTAAAATTATTGACTAAGATAGTATAATGTATTTTTGCAAGTGAAATATGAATATAATTTTAATACATATTATTTGCTACAATATACAGTAATGCATGCTTAACTGACATCGAATTTGCAATGCGTTAGTTATATGTGGAAATCCGAACTCGTTATTTAAATCGCGAACGACAAACATTAACTAAGAATGAAATAAAAGAAAAAATATGATAGATTATTGTTACTTAGAGGATTCTTGAAGTAAGTAGTTTCAGAAATGAAAATAATTCGATATTAGCAAAGCGTGTAAAAATTGTCAATTAAGTTTGCATTACTTTATGTGTAAAAAAATCTTACATACAATATCGTAACGAGGAAATCTATTTTTGTAAGTTTTATCTATTCATTCTCTAACAAGAATGAACTTATCTAACTTATCTATTGTTTCTATATTTTTATTTTTTTTAAACTGGTGCTATATATGTGCAATATAAATAACATATAATTGATATATAAATGAATATATATTGAAACATAATACAAAAATAAGCAATCAATTTAATATATATTTAAACAAAATTTTAGATTAGATATTAGATACAGTAAATATTTATATAATTATTATATAATTTATATGGAATATTTGTAGTATATAACTATTAATTTTGGTAATATAAAATAATTTTATATGAAATTATTTATAATAAAGTTTAATTTTTATTACATAATACGAATACAAAAATTAATGTAATACATTTTGTATTGTAAAAGCATTATATACACAATATTAATCTAAAAAATAATAAAATTAACAAAAAAATACAATTGTTATAATCATTCAAGAGAATCCCTTTTCATTAAATGTAATCCAGGAGCTGTAACTCCTGGCATTTTATTTTTTGGTATTTTTCCTGGTCTTAAATAAGGATTATCTATAACATCTTGTTGTGTTGTAATTTCTCCATTTTGTTCAACATCTTCATTTTGTCCTTTTATACCTATAAAAAGTATAAAATATTATAAAATTATTATACAAAAAAATAAATTTCTTGATATTTATTTAAAATAATAAAATTTTTTAAATAATAATCAGACCTTCTTCTGATTCTTCTATTTCTTGTTCTTTTTTCTTTTTAATTGGACTTGGTTCAAATTGAAAATCTTGATCAATTTCAAATACTTGATCTTGTGGAAGTAATGCAGAAAGATAACTAGGAAATTGTGGTTTACATGATATTACTGAAAATAAGATTTAATTTTTAGTAAAGTATTATTTACACATTTTTATTTACAAATTTATTAGTTTAAATAAATCAGGTTTTAAGATTTAATAGGATTTAATAGAATAAGATTTCTACTTACATGGAAACATACTATTATCTTCTGTTAAAAACAGACTATGTGTTTCTCCAGTTTTTGCAATAAATCTAGTTAAAGCTCTTTCAATATCACGTTTTTGTGTTGCTGCTTTTTCTCTTATTGCTTCATATTCTGTTACTGGTTGCTTATGTGTCTGTTTATAAATAAATTAAATAAGTTAAAACTGTAGTTCAAAACTGCATGTGATAAATATTGTTTTAATTAAAATATTGATAATTATATGAATTATAAGTTTTTAAAAAATTATATCTACTTTATTCTTACTTTACCGGAGTTCTAATATATGCATGTGGATCAGGAAAGGGTGGTAAATAACTTGGTATATGAGATGGATGACTTTGTTTCACTCCAGCTTGCAAAATATTTAATTGCTTTGATTGAGTTTGTTGTTGAAGTGGTGGTAAAACTGTTCTATTAGCTCTCTTTCCATAACTTTCCAAATTATCTAATTTTATACCCATATTTATTAATGCTACTATAACATCTGCAATGAGTGGTTCTGTTCTACCAGAAAGTTCACAATAATTTCTTGCTGATTCTCCAACTTCAACAATAACTATAAATAATTTTTGTTTGTATTATAAATTTGTTAAATAAAATTATATGTAAAATTATATGTAAATATTATTTTTCAAATGACAAATTTTAAGAATAATTTAAATATTTATTCATTTTTTTAAATATTTACATTATTATTTTACATAATTATATATATAAAACATATTATTAATATAATAAGAAATGTTTTCTTTTTTATAATTTAATTAAAAAATTTATCTAAAAGAAAAATAAAAAATAATATAATAAAAAAGATATATTATATAAAATAATAAAGTTTTGAATATTAAGAGGTTAGAAATATTTTGAAATTAATTGATATTCTTACAAGACTGTAACATTTCTGTGAGAACTTCTAATGCCTGTTTTTCACAAGTATCGTAACCACATTCCACTAAAATGCTACAAACTACATGATTTAATATCTTTCTTCGTGTATTTGTTATTTGAATGTCCATAATGTTGAATACAAACAAAATAAACTTTACTACGCAAAAAACTAACTGTTTAGCGCGCCATCATAGTAAATAATCGAATTTTTAAAATCCAAAATAATATAAAATAAAATTTTAACAATAAAAATAATAAAATTTTAACAAATAAATAATTATAATAATAGAATCGAAATACATATTTATAATGATTCTATTTAATAACAATTCTATGATATTCATGAATTCCTAAATCTATCAAAATTTAACTAAACTATGTTATATTTATGTATTTTAAGTTTTTTATTATATATTTAATATATATTAACCAATATATTAAATATATTTTAATTTATTATATTTAAAGTTATAATAATTTCGAAAAATAAAAAAAATTATATTTATGTTACTTTATTATAGAATTATGCTACCAATCATTTTAAATCTTAACAATAATTATTTTAATAATCTGTTGTATTTTCATTTAATATACTGATCGTGTAATCGAACATCTGATACTAAATTCAAAATAAATAATTCTTAATGTAATTCTAATTTAAAATATAATCGAATAACATGTGCATTTGTAGAATGGTGAATTAATTGATACGCTTTTACTTTCACAACAAACATTAAGTATATAAATTCGCATAATATTTTCACTTGAAAATTATTTTAATGTATAATTAATAACTATAAAATAAAAAATTATGGCGTCAGGTTTAGAAAGCTACGTAAATCGTATCCTTTATTTTGACTCTATTATTTTTATTTTTATTATATTTTTTGACAATTCTTAACAATTCATAGATACTGTTTCTATTATTACTTCTGATGGTAGAAACTTTATTGTAAGTGAATATATAAATTATATATAATTAATTATTTTACTCTATTAAATATTTTTATATTATTTTATAAATATTTTATAAATATTATTATAAATTTCTATGTTTATATTATTATTGATAAAAAAATTTTTATAAATGATTAAATTGTCATTTCAATATTTTACTATATATATATATATATATATATATACACACATATATATAACATATGTAATAC